GGAAATAACTTTTTATTTTGAATTAGTATCAGAATACAGAAAACTATTAAGAGAGTTTTTTGATCAAAAAACTTTTTTTAACATTAATTTTGTTTAAATTAAAATATAATTTTAGAAATATGTTTAAGAATTAGTAGAATAATAGGTTAAAAATAATACTTACTTTTTTATTGCATTTGCATATAATATGATAGATTGATAATAAGATTCATTTCGAAATAAATCAAACTTAAATTAGCAAGACGAAATACTTATGTACAGCAAACATAGTAAATCGATAATTTGACAATAAGAAACAATATATATCTAATGGGAATATCAAATGAAGTATGAGTTGGGTAACTTAATTTATCTTTTGATCACAAACTGCTTCTATCATTATACTAGAGAAATAATATGGTTTATCAGTTTTAATATATATATCTCCAAATTAAGAAGCAGATATTCCAGATTTCTTTTTTTTTCGAATGGATAGTCTCATTATTTCCCATTTTATTTTAATTTTCTTAGAAAAAATTCTATTGATCAAAAATTTATTTTTTATAATGAAAAATTATATTTTAAGGATACTCAATTTCAGAACACTTATTATAAAAACAATTTTGATTTAGAGATAATATTATTAAATTATGATCTGATATGGAGGATATTGGAATGAAAAATAAATTAAAATAATACTTATGGTATGGTTTTATAGTAATATGTTATAATATCAATAAATACATTATTAATTTGAATTTTGTAAAGTAAACTTTGGCTCAAATAGAATTTTGTAAAACTGTTGATTTTTGGGTAATAATATTTGAATTAAGTCATATGCATTAATTTTCTAATTTTATATTTTGGTATATGTTTTATATACTATGTTTTTTTCCATCAAATGCATTCCTGAATAAAGGTTTAAAATAATTTCAGAAGCATAAAATAGATAAAAATTTATTAAAAAAATTAGATGCTGAAAAATGATTTCTATCTTGATTATAATGTCTGTATTTGAAATAAAATTTATTTTATCTTCAATCATATGAGAGCTACTAATTAGATTAATAGTTACATTTATATATATAGTTTTAGTGTTATTCAATTTAATTCTTTTAAGTTAAATTTAAGAAAACCATCTCATTTGATCTATCTCAAAGGAAAAATAAATATTGGATTATGAAAAAATTAATCTTCTTATTCTTTTATATCAAATATTTCATAATTAACTAAGTTGGATTTTATTACTTTTTCGATCATCTCTTCATATTATAAAAGTAGAAATTTCAATAGAGAAGAGATTTTGCTAAGAAATCTGAGTATTTAAAATTGAATTTTCAACTCTTATCTTTACTTTGTCTTTTAAATTATGAATAGAAAACAGTGGCTTTTTTTCAACAAAATTTTCATTTTTTGATTCTTGAAAAGTTTTCTTTGAAATTACTCTTTATCTAGACATATCAAATTAATAGGATCAAAGATGGTCTTTGCAAATATTCATTTAATATTAACTATTATTCTAATGCATCATATTGATTTATCATTAGAGATATTAATTTTATTAAACAAATTACATTTTTATTTATAGTTAAATTTAAATATCACTAAGATATATAGAGATTAATGACTATTTAATTTTAGTTAAGTGAGATATATTATTTAATATTAATGATACAAAACGATAATTATCAAACAAACTCTTAAACTCTATGTATAGAGAAAATATACGATATTGATGGTTTAACTCCTAACCAGAATCATGATCATATGCTAACGTAAATAAAGTTCTAAGTCAAAAAATCTATAAACAACGAAATGCTATATATGATAGGTGGAAAAATCATTAGGATGTATATACAATAATAATGATTTTAGTGACCAATATGAGACTTCATAAATAATGACTAATTTAGAACAAATAGAGCATCTTACTTGGTAAGGGGAAAGGAGTCATAGCTTCTAAAAAATAGGAAGGTGGACTGCAGATTGGAATTGGAATTATGAAGGGGTTGGAGGAGTTTATTCTGAAAATGGTTAGAAATAAGGCTAATGGAAAGAAATGGTATAGAACTTTGGGGAGTATTTATTATTGGAAAAATATAAAAGCAATGCAAAAGTTTATGAAGTAGGAGAATACAAAAATGGAGTTAGAATAGGAACTTGGAATTATGTGTTCGAAAATAAAAGATTGTAAAAGATTTTTTGAAAATTAGTGGTGGAGGAGTTTATAAAGAAAATGGGGTAAAAAATAGTAAATGGATTGAATTAAGTGATAATTTTTCAAGGTATAATTGAATATAATTTATACTTATAGTTAGAGTTAAATAACATATAATGGAGAATATTAAGATGGGAAAAAATTTGGTGTATGGACTACTATGTACAGAGGACATGGATATAATGAATTTATATAAATGTAAATATCTATTTTGTATTTTTTAAGAGGCGGAGGATAATTTGATGAAAATTAAAAAAATGGTGAGTGGATAGAATTGAGCAACTATTTTAGCAAGTACTATTTTGAATTCAATAATATTTATAGTCTTAGTTAAGTAATTTATTAAGGTCATTATTTACATGGAAAAAAATCTGGTCAATGGGATACAATGGCAAGGTTATCTGATGGATTAAAGTTTGCATAAATGTAAAGAATAAATATATAAAAGTGGTGGGGGATTCTATGATAAGAATGGAAAGAAACAAGGTAAATGGGTTGATTTATGTAATTATTTTTAGAGGTATATTAATTTGATCTCGATAATTTAAAGTTATGTATAAATCCTCTACAACGGTTAATATCAAGACGACTTAAAAATTGGAAAGTGGGATACGATATTTAGAGAATATAGTAGTGACAAATATTGTCAGATGTAATTTGTGATTAAAAAGCAATATTGTAGCGGTGGTGGATCATTTGATGAGAAAGGAATGAAAATTGGTAATTGGATAGAATTAAGTGATGGATTTTATAGGTTTTTAGAATATCAAATTATTTCAATAGGGAATGTTAAATCATATATTAAGGTGAATATCAAAATGGTTTAAAGGTAGGCAGATGGGAGATTATGTATAGAAAAAAAACTAATGATGATTATCAAAAGATGTAAATACATAAATAAATTATCATTAAAGTGGGGGTGGTTTATATGATCCAAGTGGATTAAAGGATGGTATATGGACGGAACTAGAAAATAGTTTGAGCAGGTAATGAATTTAATATATTAATAAAGAAACACTTAAGTTAGTCATGTAGGAAAATATAAAAATGATAAAAAAAATGGTCTTTGGGAAATTATGTTTATAGGAGAAAAAATGTAAGAATTAAATTATGAAAAACTTAGGGGTGGAGGTATATTTGATGAAAATGGAATAAAAGAAGGATAATGGAGAGAAATAAGTGATAATTTTTCAAGGTTGTTGTAGATTATTATTTCAATATAATTTCGTAGAGATTAACACCTCTTTTATTAGGGAGAATATTAAAAGGGTAGAAGAATTGGGAGATGGGATATTGAGGAGATAGTGGAAACAAGTTATGATCATGAAGATTTTACATTTAAATATACAATGTATTTATGAAAATTAAACTAAATTAAAAATAGTGGAGGTGGATTATATGATGATACTGGATTAAAAGAAGGTATATGGCTAGAATTGAGTCCATTTTAATATTGGTATTGATTAATAATTATTAAATTAATAAAGGTGTTAAGTATTATTTACTGGTGAATATAAGAAAGGTAAAAAAATTGGGATTTGGAACACTTCTAAACCGAATGAATTGATGTAAGTTTTCAAATGATAAATTATTTAAAATATATAGATTTGGTGGGTCATTTGATGAAACTGGAAGGAAAGATGGGAAATGGATAGAATTGAATGATGGATTTTGTATTTAAAAAGGAGAATACTAAAATGGATAGAAAAAGGGGATATGGGACATATTAAAGAGCAGAGGAATATGGGATAAGGAATATGAGAAAATGTAAATATTTAGCATTTAATAAACTTTAGTTCAGAAACAAGTTATATGGATAAAATTTGAAGCTAATTACATATAATATAAAAAAATAAAGTTTCATTTATCTAATTAGTTTCTAGTTCTATTCTATTATTTTGATCTTTAACTAAGATTAATGAGTATCCAAACGTTTAAAATTCAGGAACCTTATCAAATTTTTTGACTATAATATTTTGGGATATAAATTTTAAATTTTCGATGATTTTTTTTTCGAAAATATAGTTCAACCATAATTAATCGAATACTTAATTCTGAATTTTATAAATAGAATAACAAGATAATTTTAGGGATATTTTATACTTAAAAAAATAAAATTCTGTGGTTTAAGATCAGTATGAATATAACCAATTTTATAGAATTATATGAATACTTTTATCTTCTATAAATTATCTAAATCATATTATACTTAATCAAATAATTTAATTATTTTTAATAAATTCTAAGTACAGATCTAAGTTTTCTTTGACTATTTTACCAAAAGCTAAAATTTACTTTTAATAAACATTTATTACAATACCACTACTTCTAATGAAAAAAATTTTTATTCATCTCAAAATATAACACACTTCCTTAATGGATAATATCTTCAAAAAAAGGAGATATAGGTTTGATCTCTTTTTTTTTGAAGATATTAAACGCTGACTTTAATATTATAAATTATAAATTAATAAAAATTTTTAATCTAAAAGTCAAGATTTAGTTAATAATATTCATTAACGTTATCAGAAATTTATTAGGTTCCAAAATTTTTTCAGCTCTTGACTCAACGATTAATTCAGTTATTCATAAAATAGCTTCATAATCCATTTTTTAATCATATAAGAAGTATCGTGTTAATGCTCTTTATCCAAACTAACCAAATAAACATTTCAAAATATATAATTTTTAAACTCTGACTTTAGTTATATTTGAACTCACATTCTAATTTTCAAATGAAAATGAACGATAATATAATGTGGAGAATTGCCAGATAGAATATCTTTTATTATTAGAAGATGAAATGTAGAATGTTGATGGTCCAGATGATTTGAATATTAATTATTATTATTCTAATGAAAAAGGAGAAGAAGTAAAAATAGATATAGAAAACTATGAGATAGATGATATTTCAGACCTTAATAATTAAAATGATTCATTAGAAGAAGGTAATTCATTATTTGATGATTCATGTGTAATGATAAGTCCAAATCATTATTTTATTTTAATAAATGTAAATGTTGAAATTTTAAGAAAAAAAGAATTACAAAGACTTATTATTATTGATGTTTATAATCATAAGATATAAAAATTATTTGATAGATCTAATTTTTTAGGAGATACAAATCCATAACTCTCTATAGATGGTAATTTTGCATTAATAAATTAAAAATGATAGTGAATAATCAATATCAAAATGGTTGTTTTGGGATCTTAAAAATAGAATTTTAACAGTTTTATACTTTTCAACTAATTAACCAATGTTAAGAATAGAATATGATGATTATTCAAATTTTTTTTTTATATGACACATTTAGATACAATATATTAATAATCATTTAATTTTAAAAAATTACCATATCGATAAATCAAAAAGATAGAAATATCAAATTTAATTCAAAATCCTATTAATTTCTTGAAAATCATGATACTCATCTATATATATTCGTTGATTATTTAGCATTAATTGTTAATTAAAAAGGTTAACATAATATTACCAGAATCAAAAACAATTGTAAAATTAAAAAAAAATTAAATTTTTGAAAATTATTATCCAAAATTCATATCTAAAGCCTGTTTTTGTTGTGGTAGCAGATCCTAAAGAACAAACATTTCTTTTAATAAATATATCAATAGCAAAATTAATTAAAAAAGAAACATCTTACTTTGTAAATTTAAAAGTCTAATTATTATTATGATTCATAAAATCAATCTTATCATATTTCTTATTAAATTAATTGTCTTACATAAGGACAAAATGATAATGAAGATAATGTTAATTAAGATTACAGAAGAAAAGGATGGTATATGATTAAAAAATAAGTTAATTAAACTTGGTTAACTTAAGAATAAATAAAGACAAATTTATTAAAAAATAAAATAGTTATACAAAATTAATAAAATAAAATCAGTTTTTATTGAAACATTGATTTTGATAAATATTAACAAAAATAAATATTATTTATCATCTTATTTCATTTAAGTACTTATTCTTTATATATAAATTATTAATTACAAATATTGTAAATTGTTTATTAATATTTTTTAACATCTATCATTAATGGATAGTATTATTATTTTTTATGAAAATTATTCTTTATTATTGAGAGACAAAATAGGAATTAGATAATTTATTTTTCATAATATTAATTATTTGGGAAAATACTATTCGAATTATATATGAAAGTCAAGATTTTGTATTAGTAACAAAATTAAAATAAATACTGAAGAATTAGTTGTAAATATTCAGATCTTTATAAACTTTAAAGTTAGGATAAAATGGGATTCTCATCTATCAAATCTGAAAAAGGAATAAAATTCAGAACCTAATTCTTCTCTGTGAGACTAGTAACTTTTAAATAAAATCTCAAACCAAATCAAGTACTTTGGATATTGATAATTATAAGTATTCATAGCTTTCGGGTAATTGATTTTTCTTATTATTATTTTAAATATGAATTTCATATTTCTCTTCTTCTAATAAACATCAATAATTGATTTTTCAATCTAACTGAATAATAATTGATTTTGAAATTACTCAATTTTTGTACTTTGTTAAAATATATTATTTAGTAAAATTTTTAGAAGCGCTTTAAAGTTACCTATTCTCAAAAGTCTGAATGATTAATGCTTCAATTTCACAAATTTCTGAATCACATTTTGATAAACTCACTCTTCTTAACTTAAATCATAATAATAAATGGTTTATTATAAGATAACAAGATAAGATCCTGTCTTCTCAATTAAAAAGTATTTCTATAAATTCTGAACTTTTATCCTTAATCTTTAAAGTTCTACTATCAGATGCAGAGACAGTTTGTGAATACAATAATTAAATATCACCTTATTCTTTTAATTTTCTTGTTTGATTATCTTTATTGTACATTCTTATAATTTGATCATTTATTTTATGAAATCATAAGGATTGTTTCTATGAATAAACTTTTCATTATTGAAGATTTCTTTTAAATTTTTATTGATAAAAATAAAATAATGTGGTCTTAGAAATTAAATATTAGAACAATTGCAAATTGGTTTATTTATTAGAATATTTAATCTCTTATGATTATATTACTCATTTCATAAAATAATTCCCATCCTAGATTAAATCACATTAATTATGAATTGAGAAGTTGTATGAATCAAATAATAAGTAATATCATAAATTTTATTATTTTCTTATAGAAATGAAATATATATGCTACAAACATCATATATAAATAATTCTCTGATTTCTTTAATTATGTTGTTTAAAACAGCTAATTCTTAATGTCATATTCTATTTCTTTATAAATCTCGAATTCTATGAAATACTTATACTTATAAATAAATAAATTCATTTTAAAAATACTAATCTAACCCTATGTATATTGAATTTACTGGTTTTATGAATAATTTTTTCTAAAATAGATAAAAATTGAACAATTATTATTTCTTAACTGATATATTTCAATAATAAATTTATTTTCGTTGGCTTTTACTAAATTATATCTGGTTGATCGCAGATTTACTTCAAATTTAGTCATTAGATAATAGTAACAAATATCATTTTATTTATATTTAATAACTAAACTTTCATAAAATAAATTAAAAACTTTTAATAGCTATACTAATAAAAAATATAATAGTTTCTCTATTTAACTTTAAACTTAAAATATATTATTTATATTCACTAATTATTATTTCTTCACTCTGTGATAAATTGATTTTGTAAGTATAAATAAAAAGAATAAAGGCTTATATTTAATAAAATTTAAAGTTGTTTTTTAGTTATTAAGAAATGATTGTTTAAATATCATAGAATATTTTGAGGGTCTTAATTTTCATTTTAAGAAAGAATGAATTATTTAAAGGTGAACTAGTAAATTAGAATTAATAATAAAATTTTTATGTTTTTGAAAATAATGAAATAGTATATTATTTTATTCTATTATCAGCTAATATAAATTTTTTTATTTTCTCTCCTAGTTAATATTAATTATTTTGAAATATGATACAAAAGTTGGATTAGACATAGGTCCAAAATCAGATCCTAATTTAATTTTATGTATATCAAGATTTGCAAAATTTTGTTAATTTATTATATTCGTTAAAAGAAGTCAATGATTTTTTTAAAGAATAAAAAAATCATGCCATGGTTAAATTATGTAGAAACAAAGTAATTTTATAAATGAATTTGTCAAATTGTATTCATTATGACTTAACATAATAAAATGGATCATCTGGAATATTATTAGATGAGAAAAAAAATGCTGCGAGTTTATTGAAACAGTTAGAGCCCGAATTAGAAGAATTTTAATTATATATTTAATGGTATTAAACTAATTGTTTGAATAAAAATGTTAATTTAAAACAATAACACTTAGAAGATATATAAATTGTTGCTAACTTTAATTAAAATGTTTTATCACAAATCATTCCTGCAATTAATTCTATAGATGAGCAAGTAAAAAATTTATAGGGTCAAAAATAATTTATAACTCCTAGTATAAATTAAATTAGAGAAAAAGCAATGTATTAGTAATTCTTATATTTAGCAAATTTAAAGATCACACAAAAGAAAGTTTAGGGAAGAATTTTCCTCCTAAAGAAACTTAGATTGAGTAGGTAGTTTAAGAAAACATATTTATTGCTTATGAAAAATCAATAATAAAAAATTTCTAAAAATTTGAACAATACCAAAAAAAGTAATATGAAAATATTAAATAATACATAAATAGTTTAAAGGAATCTTAAAAAGCAGATGAAAAATTTGCATACCAATTATTTTATCGTAAAAAAGTTCTTGAATTTCATCCTTAATATTATAAATTTTATTTGTTTGGATTTTTTTTAAGTTTTATGGTAGATAATAATAAGATTGAAAAAAAAGAAGATTAATTTTTTTAATTTTACTTAAATAAAACCAACTCAGAAAAAAATTAATTTAATTATAATCATTTTGTGTAATATCTATATACGATTCAAGAAAAAATAGTTAATGCAAATTTTCAATCTTATTGTGATTATTACAAAAAATCATAATAATGAAGTAAAATATGGTTGATATCATTATTAACGATATATAATTATTTACAAATGTTTGTAAATTTAAAAAATATGATATTTGATTTTTTTGAGGTAAAAAAATAGGGTGAAATTCTATTTAAAGATATAATTCTCAAACTTTTTTACTGTTTCTTAGGGTAATGTTTTAATTTCCTTGTTGTATTTATCCTTAATTATTTATTAAGTACATGTAATCTGGCTTTCCGCTCATAAAAATATTTATGATAAGTTAGAATTTCATTTTTCAACTTATACAAATTTTATAAGAACTATTATAACATTTTTTACTTGTAGATAAATCCAAGATCCATAATTTGTAAGGGCCTTAAGATAATATTCTATTTATCTCTCGAAGTTTTTATTAATTTAGACGATTAAGGGATATGATAACAGTCTTAGTTACTAAAAGGCATTTAATGAAATCTTTTGCTTAAATCTCAAAATATAGTAATAAATAAAAATAACCCGAAAATGTTTTTATTATTTATTACTATATTTTGAGATATTTTTCAATTAATTATAATGTTATTTTTAGCACCTTCTACTTCTATAGCCACAGCAATTATTTAATTCTAAGTATTTGAAGTATTAAGATTAGCATTCTTTGGTGTTTATTTAAAATGGGCATCTTTTTATGGTTTCTAAATATATATTTTTGAATATGATTATAATAAAATATTTTTTATTTTTGTTTTTATAAATTTTTAACGCAAATCTAGGATTGCATTAATGATAAGGAAATTATAAATTAGTTTATAACGCAAAAATAGAGATGATTTAATATATCTAGAGATTATGTCATTAAATCTTAAGAATAACAACATCATTTTTTATCTTGAATTATTCCATTTAAGTACATTTGAAGAGAAATTGATCTATCTTGTCGAAAAATTTCTAACTTTAAATGCCAAAAAATTAAAGGTTGTTATAAATCAGGATTTCTCTTTTTTATGTTAGATAAATTACTATCATTTTTCAAAAAAATTTATTAAATATGTGTTTTGTTAGGATGAATATCAATTTCTGCTTAATAAGAAAAAATAGTATTTATATTTACTTAAATTAATAAAAAATAAATTTTCTATATACTTATTTGTGGATAAAATTTATAAATCCTTAACCTAAGTTTTAAAATTTAAATATATATAATTAAAATATAGTATTATATTTTGAAATAATCTTTAAAATATTACATAAACATTAATTGTAACATCATTTAAATTAAAAATTCATATGTTATAATTAAGATATTTAAAAATATTACATTTATCATCATTAAATTTTTTATATTTTTATATTATATTTCAAATA